CGTTGATTATACCAGTCTCTCGTTCCAGTGCTAACTAAATATAATTTAAAGATATTAGAGCAACTATATCACTTATAATTAGTCTAACTGATCTATCATACCAAATTGTAATGAACCTGAGCAATATGCAAGCTTCGAGTTTCCAGGAATTCCAAGACGACTTTGATGACATCTTTCTCGTTAACAGTTATATGCATAGCTCCGGGCATTGTTGCAAATTTAACTGATTATGATTACACATTATAGTCTTAACAATGAATATGAATATAGTCTTGCAAAGCAGTGGTTTCTATAAACGGATATTAAAAGGCTTCTATCGAAAATATAAAATACGCGAAAATAAAGGGACGTAATAAACAAAATTTAAATAAAATATGAATTTATATTTAAAGAAATAGCATGAAATTTTCGGATGACATTTCTAGGTGTAACAGAGAAATCGAAGATTTTCTTGGCAGAGGTATTGCCTCAGTAAAGGACACATAAAGGACAAAAGTGCAGGATCATAATCTTATTATTGAAGGTAACAATTCCCGAACATTACGATTATTCTGTCTGTGATATTAAGCCGTATTAAATTGATGAGGTATAAATCCAGGTTACAAGCAAATTTCATTCCCACATACCTTAACTTTCTGAAAATTTTCATATTTTAGATGACAATTTTAACGACTAAATTTATAAATAGAGATAAAATCGTCCCCTAAAACAAATTTGAAGCAAAAAATTTCGTAAACTGACAGCATGTAGATATTCAACCTAGATCTGTAGAATAATAAAGCAATGTTTCTGAGAAGGATTTCATAAAAATCCACAGAATTTTTGAAGCATTTACCAGCAAATATATTTTTTGAAGAAGGATTTAAAATATGTTCTCTTTAAAATATGTTCTTAAAAATAAGCACTGACCAGAAAGGACAAGATAGTGGTTCATGACTAACAGGAATAAACATAAAAGTTATAAGAAAAGGGCTTACTGCCATCAGAGGTTTGTTAGGAAGATAATGAATGTCTCATGGTCGTATATTGAGCACGGATCGATGTTACCGAGGACTAACGCTGTTGAGGACATTAGCAATTGCTATTCACATTAGCTATATATCGACTTCCGATAACAGCGCTGCTGGTGCATGGAAAGACGTTAGAAAGAGTTACAAATGACAGATTTCTATGTCTTCCAAGATGCTCTGGGATATATCTAACCAGATTATCAAACAGTACAATGACGAATATATTGACCAGAATTTTATCTTGTCACTTCTTTGTCATTTTATGATTATAAGTAATACTTCAATTTTTCAGAAATTAATACACTTTTTTGGAAATGTTACAAATTTTTTGACCTATCAGAATTGCATGAATATTCATTGCAGCAAAAATTGAGGATTTCATCTAATCGTGCATTTTCGAAAGAGATTCTGAAGAAATGATTAAGAATTTCAATGCAACGATAAAAAGTGGGAATCTAAAAGTACCGTCAGACCATCATACGTCATACATAAATGATAGATTTAGACAAGAGCAGTGTGGAATGAAAATTTTCTGCCATTACTTATCGGCAGCTGACATATCAAAGTACATCATGCAAAAAAAAAAAATTATCAAATGAAGATTGTTTTTACGTAAAAAAGTTTAAAGAAATTGAGTTTTAAAAAGGAGAAAGTAAATTATACGCCACGATCTTCCAGAGATATTGCCAGTGTGCAGAATTACTGATCTCTTAATCATGGTCACAAAATTGCTTTTAAGTAGCAGCTCTTTTATCACTAAAATAACTGCTTCCAAAAGATTTCGTTTTCCTTAATACTTTTCAGCACTGTACAAAATAGAATTATTTTCCAAACAAGGAGATATTAAGCCTTTGCCATGTTATTAAGCCTTGAATAACTCATTTTCCAACATCAGTTACACATCCGACTAATTCACATAATCACTAGCACTCGTAATACGTCATTTTTTCGGTATTCGAGATTTTCAGATTTGCCAAAAACAAAAAAAAAAAAAAAAAAGAAAAAACGAATTTGGAAAATGCTAATCTTATAGCTGGAGAACAAAATTCATTGACACTATAATGAAAGGACTGCTGACTACGACTATTAACGATTTATTAGATCCATAAATATTAATCTATTGTCTATTGCTAGACAATTACTTCACATTTTAAAAGCTTTTATCTCCAACTATAAAGTCATTCAGTAATTTAAATCTTGATAGGCCTTTTTTTAGCCAACGATTAGAGAACCATGTATACTTTTATCATAATAGGGTTTATGATTTATTTTCCTTTTCAGTGTAAAAAAATTATAACTTTTTGAAAAATGAACTAATACAAACCTCATTTTTTGCAATATCGTTTTCAATAACATCAATTTCCAACCTTTGTTTCGAGCTTGTATTTCATCCCTAATTCCTAAAGCATTATTAATTTAAATTATTAACTGATAATCGGCCTTATATAAGATAATCAGATTGTATTTGTTTAAATTTCGATTATAAATGTATAATATATAAATATATCCAGGTAAAAAAACTTTGCTATAGACATTGATAAATGAAAAAGGAGTAGTAGTAGAAAAGAAAAAAATGCAACAAAACTGAAATAACAAAAAATTCCAATCAAATCTTTGAAGCAAATCACTACAACTGTCAACTACCATCTAGTGAGCTAAACCAGCGGAAACGATTTGACCTTAGTGATAGGAATAATAATTGGAAGGAATGAATTTTTCAAGAATTAATGAAAGCTTTTGCTGAAATTTTCAAAATCAGGCTAGAAAGTCATTCAAATATTTGCAGTACATTAACTTTACGACCACTGCAGTGATGGTACAACACCGAAATGCATTTCAATAGCACAGCTGTCGACGTATTTTGAGCTTGTCAAATAAATGATCGATTAACTAACCCACCATCAATACAAAAAAAAGAACTGAAAAAAGATGAATTTTCCTTAATTGAACTTTGTTCATCCAATTAGCACATCTTTTTTTCACTTTGTTTTACATGTCTTTTTGATTGTGCGAATGCTAAAGAAATAATGTGGCAATTCAAGAAGTCGCTAATATAGCTGTATAACACCATAGATCATTAACTATCGGCCACTGGCATTCAATTTTCAATGTTGACTTTTCATTTTTCGAAGTGTGAATTTGCTTTACAAAAGGTCAAATAAATGAAACACAGAAATATGTATTTGTTGAAGCGGAAGTTATCATATGATATTTTGGAAAAATAATACTATATTTATTTATCCATTAACGAATTTTTTAGGACGTACTGAAAGTTTGCATAATAGTATTGAGTTTACATCCATTTATCAACATTTGAAGAAAATGTCAAACAAGTAGAGAAAGAATAACTGAGAACACTGGATGGACAAGAAACAAAAAGTACTAAAAAAACTATAGTTTAACAATCCCCGAATTCTCGGACCGCTCACTGCACTGGATGAAATTATAAACTCATTGATACGGTCGAAAATAGTTTCATTATGGTATCAATTTTTAAAAAGAAAAAACGACCTTTCGAAGGTTCCCTCTTTGTATCGCATTCACATTTTTAATAAAGAAAGCAGAGGAATGTAATCTTAAAAACATTCTTCTAAAAACTAATCCAGACAAGAGTATTAGCTGATGAAATGAAAAATTTCGTGATCGTCACATAATTTCCTTTATATAAGTAAGAAAAATTTTTTCTCACGCAGATGAATTAATTCATAACTGGAACAAGTGAGGAATCTTCTGCACCTTGCTTAATTCCAGACTCCAGTTCAAATTTTCAGGATAAGTATGGGAGCACATAAGCAAACCCTCTTGCATATTAATTTAATTCTCTAAAGGACGAGACTGCTTTTACCAAGACTGGAAATAAAGATTTTTTGATGACAAAGATTTCTGCTGACAAGAAATACGTGATGAGTGCGATGTCTCCAGGAAAAGTGTTCTGCCACTTTTCAAACAGACTGAAAGAGAAAATATACGAATTCTTATTGAAAGAAATAGGATGGTATTCTTTCTATTTTCCATCGTTTCAAGTTCTAAGCCTAAACAGAAAAGTTTAACAAAATGTTCTCTTTCTCTACCTCCCCTGTTCACTGCGAATTTGTGTCTTCACATGATTAGATAATTGCTTATCTTCGTCCTTTGAGTTTGTGACATACACGAGACACTATCTTAAATTAAACGCTATGACTGCCAGTTCACCTCCTCAGCAGTATGATTAAATTCCAATTCCTTCACTTGATTCATCAGTTGCTTACTTTTCGATAATTAAAGAAAGCTTAGGAAGAACGAAAAATAGGCAACTGGATGGGATAACTGTATTTGTTTACAGTTGTACGGTTTGACCAAACATTCGGAAAGGATCGATAATTGCAAAGAAAAAGATAAAAGAAAAAAATTGCGAAAATTTCCTAGTCTTTTCTGCATGATTACTGGTTTCTTACAAATTGAGCCAAATATTTCCGGAACTCAGATTTTCTACAGGGAACATCAGAAATGAAAGTAGAGATTTAATAGAAATCGATAAGAGCAATGATGCATGATTTACCTACCAGCTTTGAAAGGAGCAGGAATGACAGATTCCATGAACTACGAAGTTCACTATAGATTGCTTTGCTTTTTTCAGATCATTCAATCCTGCTGTATGTTCCCAACATATTGGACGAAAGGAAGAGACAATAATCAGTTTTAATTAATAGTTTAAAGTGATGAAGAATTTCTAATTCTCATCTAACTAATAATGATTCTTTGTAAATGATTGAGCACCTCCCTATTTCAGTCAAAAATTTTCATTTCATATATTCACTTGATGAATGTTTTTTACCCATGAGAGAAAAAGATATGAATTGTGGATGATAACTGATTACTGAGTTGAATTCTAATTAAATAAATGCCAATATGACAAATGTGGAAGTTTTTTAACATTCTAATTTCAAGATAAACAATATCAATAATTGAAATGTTGATTGCAAACACAATAAACTGAAGTTTTGATTGGTATTAAAGTATCCTTTCCTCTATTTCATCGTCTAAAGTTGGCTCATCGTTCGTTTCGTAGAGGATACATTTTTTCTCCGCAATTTTCACATGCAGTTTTGGATCGGTAACTGGCTTAAGAGGTTTGAAATCATCCATTTCATGTGTAGATTTCATTTCTTCTATCTCTTTATCTATTTTCAATTTGCGATTCTACAAAGCAAAAGATGAATAAGGAAAACAGAATGTAGAAATGAAGCCAAAATGAAGCTCTAGCTACATTCTCTAGAAACGCGAAACTTCAGTGAAATTCGTCAAATATGGAATAATTTAAATAACACGGTACTTCATTCTTTATTTGCAATCTTTTATTTCTCTATCTGTGTTAGCATTACATATGTGTGAGCGAAGCTGCTTAAAATGCTAGTAATTATCATACTGATTCAACCATAGAGTTCAATTATCTAAGTTCAAATCATTGTTTGCATGAATTAACATGTGTCAAGAAGTTTTCAATTTCTTTGTTTCAAAAAATTGAAAAAATTGAGGTTGAAATGTCACTCATGAAGATTGAAGAAGACTGTATTACAACTGAAAGCGAAAAGCAGTATTTCATAAAGTACTTTTAATTTCACTGATAAATTCTTTTTCAAGTCTGATAGGTTAATATATAACTATATATGATAATACCTACTTATTGAAGTAGTATTTTCTGTAGAATCTATGCAACGTCATTTATATTATTCAGATCTTATCTCACATAATTTTAAAGTTGTTTGAGTGGACTTTTCCTGTGGAAAGTTTAATGGTTGCAAAAACATCATTATACCTTTATAATTTCGTCCAAATTGCCTAGACATTTCACGTTCGTCGTTTCTACAATACCTCTACTGCAAATAAACATTTAGCTGAGATCAGGAGAAGGGTTGAAAGTTAATTCAATGCAGAAAGTCCATTGTGAAAAAATACAATCTTACTCTCCACTTACCTTCTATCGCTATCGAATCCATCTTCTTGAGTTGCTTCTAAATCTTTTTTCTGTAACAAACAGAACAAATATTTAATGCTTTTATAGTACTCAGCCTTTCAGGCACACTAGTGGCCCATACTTCTCCAGTGGTTTCTAAGATTTTTATCTTTTAAGCCACAATGAAACTTATTCCTCTACTTTATAACGATTTGAGCAATTTCATGCTAACAAAAAAAAATTCGATAGCAGACATACAAATTTAGAATCAGTCTAGATTTATCACAAACCTTTTTAAATAATCCGCTGACTGTGTTCGAGATCTTGTCTCTGATTGTCTGAAAAACTTTCATTCTAACTTTATACAGTTATAAAACTTATTGAACTCAATGGTCTGATACTGTTTTCCAACAATTACTTTTTAAACCATAGGATCTCCCACATACAAAACCAAAAAAATTGAAAGAGGTGAAGTCTCAATTTTAGAAAGCAAAAGGAACAGAGAATAACATAAATCACTTGAATGGTGATCTGAAGAAATTTCAATAATCTGATGCAAGTTTAGAAGTTTATATAATTTTACTAAGGAAGATATGAATATATTAAGGAAGCGATTTGCACACAAGAAGCCATTTTTGCTTAAATCCCATAATTTCTAATTCACAACAATTCAGAAAAAATCAAATACCATTTCTTTTGGCGTACCAATGTCGATTTTTTTGGCCACTTTTATTACTACTGTTTTGTCTACTGGCTGCTTATTTTTCTGGAATTTTATGATGCATTCACTGAAGCATAAGATTTCTTCCTTTTTGCTTCACTTTTATGATACGACCACATGTCGTATGACATCAGCATAATCAACCTTTTGAGAACAGAAAAGTTTAAGGTTTCTAATCAAAATACTGCAGAAACAAAAGACTCGTCCTTCAGGAGGAGGAAAAATGAGTAATGAGACACTAAGTCTGAGAATGAACATTAGAAGGGACTTGCTCTGAAATTTAACGTTGCTCAAAAAGAATCAAAAAACTGAATCAGCTGTTTCCTCTGATTCTTATCCTTCCTGATTTCCCTTCTTTTTTTCCTCCGAATCGTCTGTTTGCTCTACTTCCGGAAAAAAATTTCGGAAAAAAAAATTGAAATAACTGAGTGTCATCTGACAAGCATAACCTTCGATAAAAATCGAATTTGCACGAACCGTTTGACTAACAGCGCTTTTTGTGGAACTAGTTGCAGTTTGTGGTTTTAATGAACCTGTCTTTTTTAAGAAACCTTGCCGTACTGTACACACCGGTACTTTTATTCTCCTTTTCACCAATTTCCGCTTACAGCACATTTGTGAATGAAGTAAAATTATTAAAACGACACATAAGCTTTTTGCCACTTCACATATTGCACTTGGCAGTACTGCAATTAATGTATGATATTTAAACATAAATGTCGTTTTATGCTGTATAAAAAACAAAAAGCATTTATATCTGGTAGACATGACAAGATTTTAAGTTATAAATGTGTGACAGATAAAGAGACAAATTTAAATGTTATGAAACATGATGTCGATTGTCTCAAAAAATAAGGAGATAGTAACTGTGATATTTACAAAACTGATTCGTATCACATACTATCCACCGGATTAGCTCTTAGATCCATTAGCAGAGCAGCCCTCTGTGACAGCAGACGCAAAGGTAGCTGCTTTGAAACAGGAAGGCCTCTCTTCTAGCACAGCCTTACTTCTTTAGTTATAAAAATGAAATAAAGCAATGCTTCCACTTTTCACTTTTATTCTAAACTCTAACACTTAACTGGTCTACCTCACAAAAAAGAGAAGCATCCAGTGTACCGAAGCCAATAAACCAAAGCTAAAACCTGTGTGGATCAAGCTGCGAGTCACAGTTTTCATAATCACAGACGAACTAGTCACTGTTGCACAGCGCTGCTTTAAGAAGGACTGGCCGGAATGGAGGGCTTTCAAGGTATTGCGTAGGTGGGATGTCCTGCCGGATTTACGTATGGTTTCGAGTAATGTTGTATTCTGTTTCAGTAGATCCGTAGTCGGTTTTCTCATTTTTTATTTCCATCCATCTTTTCGACAAAAGTATTAAAGTTGTATTTAATTTCTCCTAATTTGTTGGTTACATCTGCATATTTAATTTAAGCATCTTAGGTATTATTCAGATATGGTAAGAACAAAGCTGGATAACCGGATTAGAATTCTTATCGAGAATGGAGTCGCTATGGGTCACCGTTCGATGTTTGTTATTATTGGTGACAAGGGGAAGGATCAGGTTGCATTTTTCCTACTTTGTTTCTCGCTGCTCATACTCATAGAAGTTAAAAAATGATTCAACCATATTATATATGAAGCTTACAGTTTTAGTCACTTCACTTTATTGTGTAAGTGAAGTGACTTCTGCGGGTGTATTCTTGGTGCTGAGAATTTCATCCATGCTTTAAATCAAATCTGATCTTTTTTCTCTCTCTTTGCGTCAACTTGTTTACGTTAACGTTTTTTTTTGCGCTCAGGTTGTCATACTTCATCATGTGTTATCGAAAGCAACTGTTGCTGCCCGGCCTTCTGTTCTGTGGTGCTATAAAAAAGAGCTTGGATTCAGTTCACATCGTAAAAAACGAATGAAGGAATTAAAAAAGAAAATACGCAATAGTCATATACATATAAAGGTTGTTTCGCATCTGATTTTTGAAGAATTGTAAAGATTTAAGCAAGAAAACCCGAAATTGAACTATTTTTAATGGGAGATGAGGTTGGAACTTTTTCGAGGTAACAATTGTCTCCCGTCCTTGGTTACTAGAATTTTTTTAGGATAATGACCCATTTGAATTGTTCATTTCATCAACACAGATCCGTTATTGTTACTATGCAGAAACACATAAAATCCTTGGCAGTACTTTTGGAATGCTTATACTTCAGGTTCTGTTATCATTACTTCAAGAGCATTTTGAGTTTGTTACATCGGAATTTATCTGCAGCTAATATTTTTTTGGATTTAGGTTTCTTTAATATTTTTTTCAGGATTTTGAAGCAATTACACCTAATCTTCTAGCGCGAACTGTTGAAACAGTTGAAGGAGGTGGAGTGATTGTATTGTTGTTAAAGAGTGTCAGCTCGTTGAAACAGTTATATACAATGGCTATGGTTATCTTTTTTTTTTAAAAAAAAAAAAAGTGCAGTATTTTCTATTGCATAGATATTATTTTCATTATCATTAAAAATGAATTTTTCAGACAGGTTTTACTTTATTCTTCACTTACTCTTGATTAGTGTTTAGTTTTCGATATGTAATATAAAGAATTTTTAGGATGTCCATAGTCGCTTCCGTACGGAATCGCATTCTGAAGTGGTTCCCCGTTTCAATGAAAGGTTTATACTGTCTTTGGCAAGCTGCCGCAGTTGCGCAGTTGTGGATGATCGCTTGAATGTTTTACCACTGTCATCTCATACTTTGAAAATTGATGCAATTCCTGCAAATATCAGGGTATCACTTATTTTGTTTCCTGAATATAATTTCAAAGTTAATGCACAACTCAGATTTCATGAATCTTATTTTTGCAGAACAAGTTTAGCATGCAAGAGGAAGAATTAGTATCCCTAAAGAATTCACTAAGTGAAACTAAACCGCTGAGTTTTTTGCTAAACAAGTGTAGGACATTGTGTCAGGCAAAGGTATGCTCTTATTTATTTATTTTTCTCATTTTCAATTAATTTAATTTACTAATAAGTCTCTTAATTGGATTACTAATGTAAGCTTTCAAGTTTTAAATTCCCTACATTTGGCACTGTTCCAAATTTAATGAAAGAGTGCAACAAAATAGATGTAATCACTTTAATATTTCAGACCCTGTTAAAGCTTTTGGATGTGATAACTGAGAAAACGTTGCAGTCAACATGTTGCATAACTGCAGCTCGCGGTCGGGGTAAATCAGCTGTTCTTGGACTAGCTATAGCAGGTGCTATTGGTTTTGACTATGCAAACATATTTGTAACAAGTCCAGCACCCGATAATCTCAAGACATTATTTGAATTTGTTGTCAAAGGTTTGGAGGCTATGAATTATGAAGAGCACACAGATTTTGAATTAATTCAGTCAACTAATAAACAATATAACAAAGCGTTGGTCCGAATCAGTATCTTCAAAGGTCATCGACAAGTCATTCAGGTTATTCCTGCTTCTATGAAAAATCAGTTTTTCACTTTTAAGTTCTCTAAAAAATATGATTCAGCATCAAGTAAATTTTTTGCAGTACATTGATCCTCGGGATTCGGTTAAATTATCGCAGGCTGAGCTAGTAGTAGTCGATGAAGCCGCTGCCATTCCATTCCCAATTGTAAAAAACTTAATTTCAGGTAGTCTGTTTCTTTTTAAAGCTATTTGCATCACTTTAGAATTCAGTGGATCCGTAGAATCTTTGATTTATCCAAGATAAATAAAGATTTACAATAAAAGATTCTGCAAACATCAAATGAAAATTTTGTATTCCTTCCACAGCTTTTATCTACACAGACTTTTATTCTGTTTTTTTTTTTTTTTTTTTTTTTTTTTTTTAAGAAAAAATAGAAGATATGTAAGTAGCTCATTTAAATTTGCAGGAACAGTTATTGCACCATATTTATAAAGGCAATATCGGAAACTGCATGCATGCATGCCTAGTCCAAAATACTACTTATGTTCGCTTCTGAGGAATATTGAGAAAATTATTAATGTATAGATTTTCTTCAAAGCTTTGCAATGTTCAACTGCTTTTAGGACCGTATCTTGTCTTTCTTGCCTCGACAGTCAGCGGTTATGAAGGAACTGGAAGGTCGCTTTCATTGAAATTGTTGCAGCAGCTCCGTGAACAAGCAGCTGGTTTGCTGAAAAATGATAATAATGAACAAGTGCTAACTGCTGTGAAAGGTTTTTTTTTTTAATGCATGCTTTGGATGTATACATTTTATTCTTTTCTTGAGAAAACTCTGAGTATGCTTTCTATATTACTAAGAAATTGTTGAATGCTCTGAAGCAAATGACTTTTTAGGACGTGCATTACACGAACTGGTTCTCGAAGAAAGTATCAGATACAAACCAGGAGATCAAGTAAAGTTTCATTGATTATGTAGCTTTTCTGGAGAATGGACTAGAATAATAGATATTGTTTTTCATTTTTTTTGGTTACATTTGTTACTGGAGCCAGTCACTTAATTCCATCTTAGGTGGAAGTTCCATCTTATGAACTCGTATTCATCTTTTATATTTCATTTCAAGAAACCTTACTTTCAGTAATGGTAGGTTTAATGAATCTTTAATACAATTTTTGTTTTAGATTGAAACTTGGTTAAATCGTGTCTTATGCCTAAATGCTTGCAATGCTCATCGATTGGTATCGGGAATGCCACCTCCCAGGGACTGTCAGTTGTAAGCTTAAAAATATTTTTTGTATGAGTTTCAGAATTTGATTTTTCGTGTAATATCTATTTTTTTGGTTTAGGTTGTATGTCAACCGAGATACTTTGTTTTCTTTCCATAAAGCTTCCGAAACGTTTCTTCATAGCATTATGGCAATATATGTCTCAGCACATTACAAAAACTCACCTAATGATTTGCAGGTAAAACTTTATCATATTTCTTAAGCGCCTAAATATTTTTTAAAATTCATTTAAGTAAAAGTCGAATTTTGATGTTGATATTCATATCTATCAAGTGTTTTTTATTATAGATGTTGTCGGATGCTCCGGCACATCATTTGTTTGTTTTGGTGGGACCAATTAACGAAACGCATGCGCAGCTTCCAGAGGTTTCTATTTACTTTCTTCTTAATGTTTTAAAACAGTTTTTTTTTTTAATAATAATAAGTTAATAAGGGAATAGCAGAATAATAAGCAAACAATTTTTCATGTTTTTCTGAACTAAACGTATTGCAACACAGATTCTGGCAGTTATACAAATAGCAATGGAAGGTGCTTTATCTTCTGCGACAGTATGCAGTAATATGGGAAGAGGAAAAAGAGCAGCGGGTGATTTGTTGCCGTGGACTGTATCGCAACAGTTCATGGTAAGATGTGGTTTTCTTTAAAATTCTTTAAAGTTCTTAGTGTATACGACAAAGATATGTATTTGTTCATGTTGAAAAAATTTGCGGTGCTTTTAAAACTTTCAAATTATGTTTATTTTAAGGAGTCAAATTGAAAATTTGGGTTGTCCTGCTGTTTGACCACTATTTACTGTGAAAACTGTTAGTATTTCAGGATAAAGAATTTCCAACGTTGAGTGGAGCACGAATTGTGAGAATAGCAGTACATCCTGATTTTCAGTGTTAGTTGGTCTATGCTCACAAAGTAGTAATGTGCTAAATGGAATGCTTACAATAGTAATAATTTCTTTGGTTGGTGAGGAATATAATATTGACGATAACGTGTTTCAGCACTGGGATATGGTTCACGAGCTCTCGAGTTGCTTTTGGAATATTATCAAGGAAAGGTACCATGTTTCAAAGAAGAGACAGATTTTAATATGGAAGCAAAAGCCAAACATATCGAGGTAAACAGTTCTTTTAAATGACAATTAGGACTATTCTGTTATTCAGAGTAATGTTGGTGAAATTCTATACCGTGATCGGCAGTTTTGTTTTATCATGATTTGAGAAATAAAACTATTTCATTTATGTTAAACAATGGTTTTTTAATAATTGATAGTTGATTCTAGGCACTGTATCACAGAATAATGAGAAAATAATGAATGTTTTATAGAATCCTGATGCACTAATATTGCTGGAAGAAGTTATTGAACCACGCGCTGATTTACCTCCACTTCTACATCGTTTAAGTGAACGGCGTGCTGAGAGATTGGATTATATTGGTATTGCATATGTTTTTCAACTTCATATTTCTTTAGTTCTAGCTGAAAATGTAATTCAGAAAATGTTGTAACTTTTCAGTTATGTGCACTTTTCATATTCATTTTAGGTGTTTCGTTTGGCTTAAATTTAGCACTACTTAAATTCTGGAAACGTTCGGGGTTTGTACCGGTTTATCTCAGGCAGTCTGTTTGCGACCTCACTGGTGAACATACTTGCATTATGTTGAAGGATATGAATAAAGGTATATCCGTATTTCTTTTTATTATTGCTGAATAACACTTCATTTGCGAGATAGAGTATTTATAGATGAGGAAGATTTAAACGAGAGCACTGCTTCTTGGCTTTCATTATACTGGACTGAATTTCGACGTCGAATTTTGCATTTGTTTGGATTTGAGTTCAATAAATTTTTGCCGCAGATGGCCCTCAGTATTCTTCAGCTGAGAAATAATGGAATCATGAAACAATGCAAAAGAGATGGTAAATTATTAAATTATTTAAATTAGCAAATAATCTTTAAATAAATAAAAGATTTGATTTCCGGTACGCTGAAGAATTTGTACCCCATAGAAGTTTTTGATTAATTTCAAAGCTTTTTTCAGTTCTGACCAGAGAAAAACTTGGATTATTTCTTTCAAACAGTGATTTACGTCGATTATCTGAGTATGCACGAAACATGATCGATCATCACCTAATTACCGATATATTACCAGTACTTGCTTTATTGTATTTCGAAGAACGATTCGATGAAAAAGTTGGTAAAATATTAATTTTCGTTACTTTAATGTACATAGGAAGGTCAGGATGACTTTAACCTATCTTGACTTCATGTTTTATTGGTTTACTCCTCATGCTAAAGTGTCAGTCATTTTAGTAAAGCTTATTAGCATCTCGAAATTTTTTGTCAATAAGAGAATGATAGAAACATGGAGTACTGGTAGAGAGAATAAGAAGTAACAATTCTTATAGCATAAATTTAGTTACTTTCTTTCATTGGTTCTAATCGATTTCTAGGTCAAACTAAGTACTGTGCAGTCAGCGATTTTGTTAGGCACTGGGCTGCAGCATAAGACGGTGGATACTTTGGTAACAGAACTTGACTTACCTGCTAATCAGTTACTAGCTTTATTCAACAAAGCTATCCGAAAACTTTCTGAGTACCTCGATCAGCTCTGTATGAATGCAGTACAGCAAGAAATTGATGGTCAGGGAATCGGTGGGCTTTCAGTCCATGCAGGTTCCATGCAACCTGTTGCTATCTCTCTTGATGTAAGTTTTGTTCGTTCGATTCATATAAAATCATTGATCAAAATAGATTTTTTAGGATAATTCTAAAAATGTCCTTGTCTCTTTATAGGATGAGCTTCACGAGGCAGCTGTAGAAATCAAAAAAAGACAAGATAAAGATCGGACGAGACTTAAAGAAGAAATTGGTCGAGAATTGAAGCAGTATGCAATCAAGGGAAATGAAGATGATTGGATGAGTGCTTTGCAGAGTACCGATCTGAAGACAGTTAAGAAAACTGGCATGATTTTATCGGTTAAATCATCAAGGTAAATTTAAAAAATTCTTTAATTATAAGCAAGAAGAAAATTCATCATCGCAGAATCAATTTTTATTACGAGTACTGTGTTCGAAAGGATCTTCCACGCCGTCTCAAAAACTATCATAATTAAATGTCAATGTTTCTATGCATGAATTATTCCAGAGCCGAATCCAAAAGTGTTCATGAATTATTTGAAGAACCAAGCAAGTTCGCCAATCGAAAAGGCAAGAAAAAATTTAAAACTTTTAAATAAAGTCCAATTCCAAGGGAGGTACCGGAGCCTAAGTGTTCAAGAAACCGATTTATTTCCCTTCTCAGTTGCAAATGTTAGATCCGATTATACAGCGATGTAATGTAACGTACGGGTGTTTTGTTTTTGTGTATTATTTCTTTACTGTTGTTAAGTTTGATCAAGTTTCTAAAAAAAAAAAAATCATTACTAGTTGCTATTACACGAAAAGTGTGCACCAAGATTTTTACAATTTAAAACAACATCTGAACGGGAAGCAACCAAAACAGAAATGAAATGTAGTGATAAGTTACAAACAATATATTTAAACTTCTAGAAAGAATTATTGCAGTTCTCATCTTTTATATAAATTTTTAATATAATCAGATATGCTGTAGAGTAAAGGAAAGATAAACGAAATTCACCAGGATAGTGCAGGTCAAGAACTACCGTCGTGAAGAGGACACATCTTGTTCGTAGTCATCATATAATCTGTCTCAGAGTTCCACTTGTCAAATGATTCACTGGATGTTTTCAAGTTTGTAAATAAACATAACAACATTTAGAAAATAAAACACAAGAAAGAATGCAATTATCATAAACTATCGCTAAGGAAGTCGTGTCCGCTTACGTCATTCGTGTGGAAGCAGCTATTTCCTCTTGGACGCGTTTTTGCAGTGTTTGTGAGACCAAGTTATACGTTTCCATGAAGCGATCCATACACCTATAAGGAATATCACAATATATAAATAATGGACCATCAGTCTATATGTATATATATAAATAATTTGAAAGCTAAAACTCACCATTACGTTTTGTACATCTAACGCTGCCTCTAATTCTCATGTCATAATAACGTAATTGGAATCAGGCTTTCGGTTATTACATTAAATGTATGCAGACACGAACAGATTATGACCTTTTATTGAATAATGATTTAATTTATACATCCTGACTTCATACTTCATTTATATTTAGGAGCCAGAACAGCAACAAACAGAAAATAACGAGGAAAAAAAATAATACGTCATATTTACTTAATTATTCTGTTTTGCAACTTCTAACGTAATGCTATGAAATATAATAAATTACCTTTGCAAGCACTGTCTCTCGGTATTTGATAACGCGCTACCTGGACTTGTGATACATTTCGTTAAGCATCTCTCCGACAAATCCTCAAATAGGTATATTTTTTATAATAAAATTGGTTCATTATTTTCTTGTTCCGTAAGAAGAAGAGATAAGAACCAAGTTTTTCGGAAAAGTGGTTATCGAAATTTATGAATAGATAAACTATAGCAGTCCTGAAAATTATGTCAATATGAAATGACAGAAAACTTACAGTAATCATATTCTGGGCGTTTAAGATAGCGGCTTGTTGCTTAACACCAGATATCAAAGTTTTCTGCTGTTCGGGTGTAAGCTTTTTTAAAGATTCTACATCTAATATTTGCTCCATCACGTCGAAACAAATGATGGATAAAAAATGCACCTGAAATTCTATAAACTTTTTTTCTAGAAGACAACGACTTTTAGCTTTGCAAATTGGGCATTAAAAGAATAAGTAAGAGCAACAACAGCGACGATGCTAAAATACCACAACACCCTAAGAGATAGGTTGGGAGGAAATCTCAATGATCCACGACCCCCATTACTAAAATTAAAGGTATGTTACTTTGATTTGGTCGGGTCGGATGTAGCTCTGATATGTCGAGTGTGGTATTTGTTGGCACTTTCGGTGGCTTGTGGTGGGTTGGTGTTGTTGGTTTGTCCGCTTGAGTTTTCTAGAGTTGTTCACTTAGTTATTTCCAAATGTTATTACGTCCGTTCGGTGCAATGGTTCTGTCTGTTCGCAATAATTGTCCATGGCATCGAAGTAATTGGCAACCAGTCTATTTCCCTTTTTTGATTAAATACAAACTTAAACATAGTAAGTTGTCCTTTTCCTTATTTTCGTGATATGCTTTAAGAAATTGCTTAGATCGAATTAGAGAAGTTAAACACACTAATTACCATTACTGAGAATAACTAGCTGTCCTTAGTTACACAATGAAGTGTGAAACAAGATATTTATGATATATTGTTTGCATATTTTACACATTATTGACAGCTTAAAAGGGAGCCAAGACAAGTAGCATGACTTTATAATCCCTCCTTGACATCGTTCCGCGACATTGTAAAATTTCCCTTATATTATGCACCATGAATTGTTTGATATTGATGTTTTTTTACGACATCTTAAAATGATTTCATTACCTATTTTAGACACGCCTGAAGCACTAATGAAATCACGAAATGGCAGATGCCTCTTAATGCGAAGGATTTTGCGAGAAAAGCCATTTCTCGGCTGGAATCATCAGTGCACTCCTCGCGAAGAACGACCGCAGTACCCCGTGTAATGCGCTTGTACAGTCTCTGTTTTTAATGTTAAGGCTTAACATGTATTGATCCTCGTTCACACTTCTAGAAGTTCTACAGCTTTATTCTAAAACCTAGGTAACAAGCCTAGAAAGAATACAACAATTATTCATCTCATGGTAGTACTTCATTAGTTGTCACTTTTCTACAAGTGCTTGCGAAATGTGCAAGGATGTCTTTGTCGGATAAATACTTTATCAAAATAATTAAAAACAGACAACAATGAGTTTCATGGATCTAAACACGAAAGAAGACTTTCCAGAAAAGTGTAAGTAAAGTTAAAGTCAACTACAACGATCCTCAGTAAAACTGAATATGAATAAAGAAATGGGAACTATGCAAGTAATATAAAATCATAATATTCCACAGATGTAAATGGTACAACAAATGCACGCAACATGAAGAACAGTAAGATGGTAGTGAAGTTCGTGAACATTTGAGGATTCAGATTAGAGTAAGGAGAAATATCCATAAGTGTTTTTGGAGAATTTCAGTTTTCTTTTTTTTTGAGAATTTCATTTTTCATTTCGATAACGTGCAGTAAACATAACAAAGCAGTGTGACAATATGCAACAACAAGGATCATCAGTAAGGAGCTGATCGGTCGCCGCGTCCTCGTCCACCACCACCTCGCATCGGTCCTATGCCACTGTTGCCACCACCAGGTCGAGGAGCGTGACATCGATTGCATTCTTGTCGGAAACCAAAATTAGTGTTGCCACAGCCATCGCATGACCAATCATTGGGTCGTGGCTCCGTATTAGCTCCAGTCCCCGAGCCTCGTCCTGAAAGTTTCAGGCAAACATTACTGTCTAAATGCAGCTTCCTAACTTGTCTATGTTCAATCTATAATAAAGTCAAGAAAACAAGTATTACAGAGTGGAAAATAATTTCTAAAGTAAAAACCTCTTCCACGACCTCCTCTGTCGTTACCTCGACTACCTCTATCACCACCACGACCACCTCTTCCACCTCCACGACCTGAAATTATGAGCACAGACTTACAGAAGTCATATATCTAAAGCTGTGAAACATGATTACAAAATACAAATGCTGAAGCTTCGAATCATTTAAAAACAGTATACGATATGAGTGATTCTTCAAGACTTACCATCTCTCCCATAATCATCACGCGGTCCACTGTATCCACCCCTGGCACCGCGTCCTCCTCGGTCGCCAAATCCCCCACCACCGAAAGGTCCTCCTCTGTCTCCCCTATCACCATAGCTTCCTCGGTCATCAAAACCACCTCGCCCACCGCCACCAAAACGGCCGCCACGTCCGCCACCATCACGATCATTGTAACGACCTCCACTACCGCCTCCATATCCACCTTCATCTCGTCCTCTACCACCAAAACCACCTGAACTTCATTATTTAAATGTATACGGAAAACAAACAGAAGCACCGATTGAAATAATCATTAAGACGGATTACAATTAGAAAATAACCTCCTCTTCCACCTCTATCAAAGCCACGTCCTCCTCGATCACCACCAAAACCGCCGCGGCCGCCTCTAACTCCACCACCTCGTGAAATGTCTGTTTTATATTTTGCAAAACTGAGACTCATGCACTGTTCACTTCCCGGAAAACACTGTCCTAGAAATACACGTAGAAAACACCATCTTCCAACATCCATGGCTGGCTAAATGTTAACTTACCACTTTCCTCAGAAAGATTTAGTGGAAACAATAACCGATTTACCATTATAAACATTAATCACTCTTTCAGCAGTTTTCGCGTCGACAAATGTAATTGTGCATTCGCCTTTCGGCTGATTTGTTTCACGATCAGTATAAATCTTAATCCGTGGCTCACCAGTACGCTCGTTACGCGCTATATCTCCTTGAGTACTGAACACATCAGCAATAAATTGCTCATTTGCTCTATAAAAACAAAAACAGTTGCATTTCAAACTACAGCATGTTCGTTTCGTTGAACCTAAATGCCACCCCACGTACTTCAGATTTTATATATTTTTAAATGCTTTTTTTGGATAAAAATGTTTGAAATGCATTTTGCAGCTGTTAATTGGAGCAGGCCTTGAAGCCATTTTCCGCATATTATTTTTAGTTTTAAAAGCATGAAAATAAATGCAAAAAATATTGAACATACTTTCACAAAGAGAAAAGACTAAACACAGCACGAATGCAATAGCAAATAACTCGTTTCAATTAATCAAGTGTGGATAAACGTACGTCACGGGTATCCCTTGGATGAAGACAGTTTCCCGAACTTCGACTTGATCATCACGTGATCCAACTCCATATCCACCACCAGAACGAGGCCCAATTCTATCTGAACATAAAAGTACTGCAATCATAGATACAATTCACAACTGATGTTAAATTAATATGACAAACACACCTTCTTATTAGTAAAACCCTCCTTTAGTATTTGTTTGACTCGAAGTCCTAAGGATATACAACTCAAGTTTTGTTTTGGTGACACCCAACCAATGCACAGAGACCGAAGCATTATAACACAGATCCCCTGAATAGAGAGACACACACATATATATCTATATATATATATATATATATACAATATATCCCACTTCGATAATTCTACCTTGATAGCCTCCACGAGCGCCCGGGCCTCCAG